AAAATGGCAATACTTAAATGACCAAGAAAACCACCAAGTTGTTCCTCATTTTAATATTAGACATATATGATACTTTTGATTTTATAATGACATAATTGTATATTTATCTATAATTGTCTTAAGATAACTAGCAGTATTTGTCTTTGCATTTCGAAAACATTTTGGCATGTATCATGAAAAATCCATAGATTAGACATAAATCCAGTTAATTATAATAACAACAAACATTAATATAGCTTTAACAATTACCGTTTCTTCCTTTTTTTTGAGTATTTTTTTTCATATTTTTTTTTCATCTGAAAGAACAAATAAAACAATTTAGTACAAATTTGGATTGTTGAAATCATAAGTGACAAGACAATACATGAACTTTTAACACTGTTTGACATCCGTGGACATTTATTCATCTACATCAAATTTGTTAATACCTTCAAATATACCTTACAGACAGAGGAGGGAACAGTAGTACCCCACAATACATTGCGTTTCAGACTATATTATCGGTTTTTATATGACGTCATCACTTGTTTTTGGTCTTGRCCGAGTGAAGATCAATGGCGGGAAACTTTGACCCGTTCGCTAATTTCATCTCTAGAATTTCGATTATAGAGATAAAAATCTCAAAGATTCTTCTTTTTTATATATTCATTGTATAAGTAAGGACAATTTTCAAGTATTGACAAGAGGAATTGCTTTTTTAGACCTTATTTGTCGACAAGTGGACAACAGTTTTGTAGATAAATCGATAAGGAAATTGTCGGAGATGTAAGTTGCTTTGATTCCTCTCGCTGTGGACGGTCAAAAGGCTGAAAACTGTTTGATAAAATAAGAAGTCAGATTTAGAGGTTAGTAAAAACTTGTTTTCATTGTTTGAAATTACTTGAAATGAGCTTAAAACTAAATTAGAACTGAAGTTCGGCTTTGATGCTAAAAAACCGAAGTTGTTGTTTTTGCATTGAAAGAAATCATTTTATAAATAAACAGTTCTTACTTTGATCATTATAGTTGGTATAATTTGTTTTCTGTTTTATTGTAGTATTTATGGTTAGTGTTTTCAGTTTCATTGCTGCCAAATGCGCGATTTGTAAGTTCATTTTAATATTAAAGCTTACAGTGACACGAGTTTGTTCTTTTGGACATGTTTTATATTGAAAATCGTTCAAAAAGAGGTTAAAAATATACTGATGTGTACTTTGACACTTGTATTTTAGTGTGTTTTATGATTAACTTATTTGTATGGACGAAACTGTAGCATAGCTCGCTGGTAGCGATATCAACCGACTCTACGCGACTCTCATGAACTTAGCAAATTTCAAGGGTTTTCAATCTCTGTTTAGCACTTGAAATCATGGAGACTTTTTTGACTGTAACTTCGTATGACTTATTGTTAGGACGATACAAAAGCCAAATTCCGATGTTATTTTCACACGTGCATGTATTTAAGTAGCCAAGTTTTGTAAACTAAGTTAGCTAGTTTTTGAACCGAACCGAACCGAACCGAACCAAAATAAGCAAGATTATCTCATGTACCAGAATTTTCGAATTCTCGAATTAAAAGATCTGACTTAACAAAACTTAAATAGCTCAAAGAACAAGTGTAAAAACAGTACTGTTTTGAACTGATCGTCATGTTATATAACTTAAATTGAAACCGCGAATGTCACCTACAAAACAGCAATTTTCTCATACTTAAAACAAACATTACTTCAAAAAAATAAGAGAAATACAAAGAAAATTAATCAGACAGCAAATATTTTCGGAACTTCCMTTGTTAAGATGCAARAAAKACAWYTTTCTGGACCGGAAACTTACTACCCGGCATATCACCGGAAATAGCAACCATTTTGTCAACAAACCACACGCGCAAAGCATAAAGGGATACTACCGATATCTCTTCTGCCTTACAGACACTTATCCCTTCTTACAACGTTTCAATCAAGCAATAATAAAGTATATACTATACACCCTTACAACAATAATAACCAACAACACCATAATTCCTTTCCTTCATAACAAAGGTAATTAAGTTCAAGAAACAATTTCAAATGAAACATAATTGCACTTACAACATTAACATATATACAATTCCGGCCATCTAAAATGAAAAGATGTCACAAATTAAACAATAACAAAAATTCATAGTTGCATAAATGAAATAAACAAAATAATAAKAAGAAACAAAATAAAGCACAGCAATTTTGGAAAATACAAATATACAAATACTTACAACACAACAGGTTTCCTTATGCAAATTGCATAATATTTACATCATTATATTAAAATTTTGAACAATAACTTCAGGACATCTAAAAACAAAAACAGATATAGAGTTCAATAAATTGACAACTACTTACAGATTCTTTAGGTAACATTGTAACACCACAAACAAAAGTACAAAATCTTTGAAGCTAATAAAATACAAAGTCTCAATTTCCAAAGATHTTGGTTGAACCCATGGCTTCAAATTTCAAAATGATGTGCTGCCAAGGTCAACACCAGKCGGATTTTATCATTAAATACCTCAAAATATTCAGCACAAGGGCAAATCCTGCCAGAAACTTAGGGGATGGAAGGTGTGATCTGAGAGAGGCTTTGAATAACATTTTTTTCGGTTTTACTAATGTGATCAGTGCTATTTGCTACTATA